TCTGAACAAATGGTGTCTAATGAACTAATGTACAAGAACTTCAACCACCAGAGAAAAACCATATGGTCTTGTTTCTGCTAACGACTGCAGCACAGCAACCACAAACCTTTCAAATACGAGCAAGACTAATTAAATTTTATTGTTTTAAGTGCAGAATTCATCTGACTCTGTATGAAATGTGTTAGTGTCATCAATGTTTTACTCACAGCTTCAAAAGAAAACTGAAAAGTTTTTTGATTGATTTTTTTTTGTGTTAGCAAATGTGACCAAAAAGAAAATAGATTATTTCTATTGTGATGAAACTGCTTTTCAAAGTGTTACATGTAGCATTTTGTATTTGCCAAAGTTCAAAGCCTAAAAACCCTCTGAAAAGTGGATGTTTGTCACAGAAAAGCAGCCACTCTGGGCTGAAAACATCAGAAAACAACCAATATACATTCTGACAAAATGATGGGAAATCAAAACTGTTTTCATAATTTAGAAGAACTGCAGTCTGCAGAACCTTTTGATCCATCTTACTAAATGACCAAATCTTTTAAAATAATTACTATTTGTTGTATTTGAAACAAATTGAAAATCTTTTTTACTTTTTCAGGAAACATCTTTAAGGGATTAACATGAGCTAAAACCGACACACAGCGAAGGAGCAGACTCACTGTATCGACATCCATATACTTCCAGTCTGAGTCCAATCCTACCAGTGGGGTTCCAGTCCAGAGGGATCAGGCGGAGGTAGCGAGCTATCACCGGCTGTTCAAGTTTGTACTGAACCACAGTGTCTGCATTACTGTTACCTGGAAAAGCCTGAAACAACAGAACTACATGTTAGTGTTTCAGGACAGGAACATGAAGTCACATATGATACACGTGTGTATTATATCACATAGACATTATCCTATAAGCGATTCATATAACATTCTCTCTCTTGATAAAAAGTATATGTATGTACAGTAGAACCGCGTGTGTGTATGTGTGTGTGCAGAAAGAGCCTGTAACCTCCCTGATCCTGAGACACTTTCTGCATTTTGAAACTTTGAACACACAGAGGCCATTGATCCTAACTGCTGACAGTGTGTCTGCCTGGTGATCAATAATGCTTGGGCCATTTCTGTCTTCATACCAGGCTTCTCTTTAAAGACTAATCATTTATATTTTACCAGTCGGCTGCCTATAGGATTCTTTGGTTGCACGCACAAAGCAACACATGCATTAACATCTGTAGGGGGGGGGGGGGGAGTTGCATTTGTAGTTTTATGTCTGTCCTTCCTACCTGAATCTGTGTCACACTGCCTGTGCATGTGAGTGAGTGTGTCCACAGAGTGTGTATTGATGTGGCTACGTGAACAAAATTGGTTTCCATTGCACTGCATAATTGTGATCTCAGTGCTGTCTTCAGTACTTTGATGGGCTGAGCCGGCTGGGCAGTGAAGCATTAAGCTCAACAAATGACTCCGTTTCATGCTGAGGAGGCTGAAGAGAGCGGCATCTCATTTACTTGCTCGAGCACCTTTTGAAATATGAGTAGCCTCTGACAAGCCTTCAGTCAAGGAGACAGAGGAGGAGGGCACGAGACAGAATCAGAAAGTGACGGAGGGTTTTCTTACGAGCTGAAAGAAAGGGGACCTTGAGTTAAGACTTTTATGTCAAACTTTCCAGAGTTAAGAAAACTTCAAGCTAAATATGCATTTTGAAAACATTAATAAACAGTTTTTAACCTGCTTTTGGATGATATGCATGAAAAGTGAATTAATATTTTATAACACATTGCAAGGATTTCCTCAGATGCGTCATCATGTACGATTAAAAACAATTACAGATGTGTTTCATTAATTAATAAGACGTTATGATTCTTGACAGTGACATTATATTGTGTTGTGATCAATTATGAAGTGTCTACATACAGTATATATACTGCTTATAAGTTACCCATTAAGTTGTTAACTTTGATGCATTGATATGCAAGATGGTTGAGGTGGAGGTAGTTTTAGATACTTTATACACAGTTAATTCTAGTCCAAGATCACACACCTAAAAGTACACAATTCAGCAAAAGTGTTGGTCTAGGTGAAGTTACTTTGCAAACTTCTGGGTAGCTGTCAAATAAATGTAGTGTGTTTAGTAAATGTCCTGAAGAAGAAGGCTGAAGTAGAATAAAATGGAAATATCTGTGCAGATTCTCAGTCATCCAGGTCATACTAAACCGCAACCGAAATAACCTTGGAAATCAACTGGACTTGGATATCTAGATCGAAGACGTTTCACCTCTCATCCAAGAGGCTTCATCAGTTCTGACTGACTGGTGTTGAGTCGGAGATATTTATCCCCCTCGGTGTGGTTTCAGTCCTTAGAAGGCCAACACTGCCCATTAACGACTGAGCCAATAAAATGGAAATATTCACATTAAGCACAAATACATCAAAATACATAGTTACATTCCAACACTGGACACATGAGGCATTCCTTTTTGAAGGGGCCACAAGCCAAAAAGGAACAAATCTTTATCTCAAAACTGGTAATTATATCAAATAAATAAATAAAATGTACAATATTTGCCTCTGGAAGGTAACGAGGTAAGGAGTATAAAGAAGCATTGAATAAAACATAGTCCCTCAAAATTGTATTTAGGTCCAGTACTTAGGTAGATGTACTCAGTTACTCTCCAACACTCTGGAGCAAACAAAGAAATACTGAATATCTAAGCTAAGAAGTTAGTGAGAGGCTGTGTCTGGTACAGCTGTTTTTGACAAACTAAGCTGGCCTGACTAATATATGGAACTTTAAAAGCACTTTGTAAGCTGATCTGGGTTCATCGCCTTTCATGCTAAGTGTCAGCTCAACAAGTCTTCAGGCTGTGAGAAGTCATACCCTGCTCTCTCTTCTCAGTGTCGACTCCCAGGCTCCAGAGAGTTCCCATCCTTCACTGTGAGAAAATCGTACCCTGTCAGATCCGAATCAAAAACTGTTCTTTGAGCCGCTTCTGTAACGAGAAGGGTGCGCTGTCTTCCATAGAGGAGGAAGGAGATGCTTGACTGCCTCTGAATCATATCTAATGTTGTTCAATCAACTGAGGACTGTGAGGCTTCTTGTCATACAGCCCAGTAGTTTGCTCGGTGGTAATCAGTCATTCTGCAGACTGGTGTTCTCTTTTTTTTACTGAAACACGGGATGGGCAGCAGTTCAGAAAAATTATTTAAAGTGATGGAAATTAATGATTTAGCAAGCAAAGAAGAAACCCTAGGGAACATATGTAGATGTGAAGCACCCACAGTAGTGAAGGGAAGCTGAGTCCCAGTCCTCAGGGATGACTTCATACATCCGCTGCACTACAGAATATTTCACCACATGCACGTCTCAACCAGTTTCCTCACTGTTCTCTCCTTCACATTTACATTTTAGGCACTGAGCTCTTATCAAGTCTGGCTCACTTTGACTGAGCTGGCAAATGTTCATTCAGTAACCTGCCTGGAGTGTGTTGACTGGCACCTTTGCCGGTGCAGGCATCAAAGCTGGGCCTCTTTCTACACCAGGCAGTCTTTCCAACAACAGCACCAGCCTCTTGTCAGCAGAGGTTAAACTGCTTGACAGCAACTCTGTGCAGCTGACAGAGCTCTGCCCAGGTTCCTTTCGTTATTCCATGCATTATTAATAAAAAGTGAAAGGCTCCTGGTGATCAGGCTTGCCACTGCAGGCAGTACCAGTCCCCACAGATAATGTAAATTATGTCTATGACAGTGAGGCCAAATGTATTGAACCTGAGTTTAGAGCAGCACCCCTTCCCTCAAGCTGTTTTCAGTGTTTAAGAACATATGAAGAAGTGTATAGTTTACCCCAAATAAAAACTGATGGTGTATAGTCTGCATGAGTACAAGGTATAGTCAAATGTATACCAGCCATTTTTACATGAATTTTCTATAGGCAGCCCACTGGTTTAAATTTATTTTAGCACATAACTAATTAGCTTTGTTGCTTCAGAAAGGTTAATCCATCAGAGCAGAAATGTTTTCATTTTAGTCTAAGTTGCATCATCATCACAGGGACAAAATGGAAAACTCTCCTTTGTGCTGCGTCCCAGAAACCTTATATCATAGTGAATTATTTTAAGCGCAATTTATTTAAAACTGAGTTGCCCCGCTTGCTGATGTGTTTTGTGCTACTAATCTCAATTTTGCCTCTATCTTTATTGTCCTTTTATTGGTTTAAAATGGAAATGGATGTCGGCATCATCACAAAGACATCTGTTAATAGAAATCTGTAGTATGGAGTGAGTATGCAGACATTACTTTAATTCATTTGTTCATTGATGCTCGGTCTTGTTTTACTAAATTTGCTTCATGAAAGCTGCAGTTTACAATGACATAATTTCAACTTACAAAAACATATACAGTATCAGAAATTTGCAAGTGAGAATTATCGATCCTACCATTACAATGCTCACACACTGTTTACCACGAACCTCTTCCTTGTGTGCATAAGTACACTCCTACATTTAATAACTTTTCAGCTATTGGTACCGTTTAGGTTATTAGTTATTGAAGAAGAGCTACCCCTGAGCTGTCTTCCTGTCTGTACTGTCTCCAGTTGTGTCCTGTGTCGCTGAACATCAGCAGGTAGGTCATCAGCCAATCAGAGCTGCCGTAGCGGCCCTGCGTGGCAACACCTGTGATTTGGGTCCGCCTCCCGAGGTCTACCTCCAGCCACTGGTATCTGTCTGAGACAAGAGGAGACCAACCTCCCGCTCCTGCAGAGGAACCGAGACAAATAATGTGTTTTAGAGATGAGAATCATCACTTCACACAAAAACATGGTGTGTTTGAATATATGTGTGAGTGTGTTGGTGTGTGTGATGAGGATGAGGGGAGAAACAGGCTGGCACATATGACAAAAGAACAAGTGAGCAAGGATTGAGAAATGAAGAGTAGGACTGTAATGTGATTCATTACAGTTTAATATCCTTCAAATTAAACTTTAAAACTATGAATTTATGGTCTGGAGTAGATGCTCTGTGCTATGATGTCTAAGCTAACCAATAACAAATATCCTATTTTGACTATGAAGACAAACTGCTTTTTTATACTAATGTTTACTGATTAGGGGTAAGGGCTTGGCAGATTACGGGAATGCCACAGAGAAGGCACTGTGCAGCTGTGCAAACTAATGTGTCTGCAGTTACAGCAGTCAGCACATTTAGAAGAAACTGTTTTTGAGTTTAAATGTTACAAGTACAAATATAGTTTATCTCTCTTCTGGCTTCAGCCTGCTTTTAAGTCCACTTACTGTATATACTCATAAATGTAAGGCCATGTCAAAGACCATCCTGGTTTCATGATGACCGAAAATAAATCCACATAATCAAAGACATTTAGTGGGATACAGTCAAGGCACAGACACTTGGAGGAAATATACTGCTGAAAGAAAATTAAGGGAACACTAACCTAATACACTAAAAGTCAGTGGAAACCTAAATCATCAAAACTTGGAGGCCTGTATTCAAAATCACACTGAAAATCAAAGTGATAAATTGAAATCATAGGCTCATCCAAGTTGCATGAATTTAATCACAGCAACTCATATGGCACTCAGATGTGTCTATGGCCCCTGCGTGCCTGTATGCACTCCCGACAGCATCTGGGCGTGCTCCTGAGGAGTCGGCAGATGGTGTCCTGGTGGATCTCCTCCCAGACCTGGATCAGGGCATTAGTGAGCTGCTTTACAGTCTGTGGTGGTACTTTTGTGGCGTTGGATGCCCATCCATCCATCCATTCTCCTCCGCTTATCCGGAACCGGGTTGCGGGGGCAGCAGTCTAAGCAAAGATGCCCAGACTTCCCTCTCTCCAGACACTTCCTCCAGCTCCTCCGGGGGAATGCAGAGGCGTTCCCAGGCCAGCCGAGAGACATAGTCCCTCCAGCGTGTCCTGGGTCTTCCCCGGGGCCTCCTCCTGGTGGGACATGCCCGTAACACCTCCCTAGGAAGGCGTCCAGGAGGCATCCGAAACAGATGCTCGAGCCACCTCAGCTGGCTCCTCTTGATGCACCAATAGATACTGTCCCATAGGTGTTCAGTTAGATTTAGGTCAGGGGAACGTGAAGGCCAGTCAATGGCACCAATGCCTTCACCATCCAGAAACTGCCTACCCACTCTGGCCACATGAGGCCGGGCATCACCCTGCACCAGAAGGAACCCAGGGCCCACTGCACTAGCGAAAGGTCTGACAGTCACTCTGAGGATTTCATCTGGGTACCTCACAGCAGTCAGGGGACAAAAGTTCTCAAGTAAACACAGGCCTTATGCAATGAAAACAGATGAGTATATACTTCTGTTAAAAAAGCAAGGAGACAACTTGAGACAAAGTGCAAATGAACTATTGATTATTCACCATCAGTTCATTAAAGTTGTGGAGTTAAAGAAGAGAGTACTGTGTGGTTCATGACATGAAAGAACAGGAGAGAGAAAGAGAGTGTACACCTGACGACTATTATAATATGCACTTTAAAACTGAGGAAAGGAGCTGAGAGACAGAGTTGTATCATAAAATGATAACCTTAGCAGAGACATTACCAAAACATCTTTATTTTCATTTCTAGTTGAGATGCTGCTGGCGTCCACTACTCAAAGGAGTGTCTGCATGGGACAGAGAGAAGGAGCACTTTGGCATGACCTGATTATAACACTGAAGATGAAAAGGCTGCTATGAGATAACACTTTGAATAGAGAGAGAGAGAGAGAGAGAGAGAGAGAGAGAGAGAGAGAGAGTGTGTGTGTGTGTGTGTGCACATGTTTAAGAAAAAGTGCTGTGTCAGGCCAAAGCAAATCCATGGTGTGTGAACAGCAGATGGAGAGATTTCTGGATTTCTTCCCTGCAGAGCACACACACACACACACACACACACACACACACACACACACATAAACACACAAACAGGCACGTGATAAAACAGCTCAAAAGCACTCGAGATAGTGTTGCCAAGGGGATGCCACGCTGACATAAGCCCAAAACAAATTTATACTACAACACTTTAGACACAAAGTGGACACATTCACTGGTCTCATCGCATCTATTGTGATGCCACTTTCTACTGAAAGAGCAAATGATTATTGTAGTAACACTCCCCACCGTGAACCCCATCAGGAGTGTTCCACATCATGTGCTGTTCAGCAGATGTTTTGTATTCATAGGAGTGGTGTAGGACCACAGCTGGCAACATTAGTCAGCTTGATTCAGCCTAAAACAGTATGTAAATGACTATACAGTTTCTTCATGGCAGACATTTTGATTTTGTAGCAGGAGAAGCACAAAAACATGTAATGATGGCTGTGTGTCCCAATAAATACATTCCAGCACCCTGAAACTCTAACCTAAATAGAATACAGAGCTATAACATTTAGTTAATTAAGTGATCTGTCAAACAATAGAAAATTAATCTGCAACTATCTGGATAATCAATAAATCGTCAATAGATGTGGTTTCTTCTGGGTTGAACTAGTTGTATCTGAAATCATCTTCTTTCTTGCATTTTTTCCTCTACCAGCCGTTGTGCTTCTTGCTCATTAAGGCAGCAGGTAAAGGCCAGAACTAATAAGTACCTCAGTAACAGGCATGAACACTGACAACACAACGCTAGAGAGCAGACATGCTGACCTTTCCTCATTAAGGCTGGATTGAAAAGGAAAGAAGTGAAATGCCCAGACAAAGGAAAGAAGAAGAGCGAAAGAGTGACTGAGAGGCAGATAAACTGACATCTGACTGCGGTGGAGGAATTAGGAAGAGAGGGGAGACAAACAGAGGAAGGTAGACGCCTCTGGTGAACGAGAACTGGAGTAGAAAGCAGAAACAGCTTAAATGGAAAAAAAGGTCTAAACCTGAAAATCTGTGTGGAAAAAAAATGATCCACCATGTTAGTCACAGATTTCATGCTGGATCACCAAGACAAAGGTTTGTCACGTGTGCCATTCGGTTCTGATCCAGATATTTCTCACTAACTATAATGACAAAAAAGCTTTTGTATGCCATTCAGGAAAGTAACTGAGGTTAAAGACTGGTCAAGAGCAGTGCAGTGCCAGTCTGTTGGGCATTTAAACCAGCATGTTACTATATCAAATTAATTAATTGGCAGGCCGTAACTTTTAGGGTCAACCACATCAGAAGACAAACCAATCAAACCTTAGAGAGGACGCAGCAGTCTGAGATTAGAGGAGCATGCTGGAAGGTCATCAATTCAGAGGAAACGTGTGTGAGACTCACATTACCTTCCACATTTAGAAGAAACAATTTAAATGTGTTAACCATGAAGAACTGGCCACTGACAAAATGTACATGGTAGTGGTACAAATGTACCAGTGGATTAACATTTATGGAAACATGCCAGACAGTAACAGGTAGCTGAATCTAAATGACAATCTAAAAGTTTGACTGCATCTTAGTTTCTTTACACAGCACGTTTTCATACACAGAGGCAATTCAAAGTGCTTAACACAATGCACACAGATAGTTAAAACATTAAAATCCAAATTGTATTAAAGCATTAAGTGCAAATTAAAAGCAGCAATTAGAAGTTTACACCTGAGGTGGGCGTACTCTCTTCCAGAAAATTTGAAACATTGGTGTCTATACATTCAGCTAAACAGTACAGTGAAGTCAATTGGTCATTGAGTAATGGAAGAAAAATAAAAGCAGATAAAATTAGGTTAAGTTAGACAGAGAAAGCTATTGAAAGCAAGCTGTAAACAACACTGACATATCGACACCTCATACAGCTGATAAGGCAGTTGTATACAGTAACTAAACATTTGCTTATCCACTAGTATTGTCTGTTCAGTGACCGTCTGCACCAGCTCCCGAGATACACTGAAAACCTCTGTGCAGCCGAGGGAAGCTACAAAGTCGGGTGATAATTCTATAGTCCATCACCACAAGCAACCTCTTTTCACTTTACAGTCATGTGACCCGTGTTAATACAACATACTGATCATACAAATGTTTCAAAACCACACTAATTATTTGTGTATAAGCCTTTTATATAATTTACTCAAATACATTCACAAAAGTAAAATCATAAGCAGCCCTGTAAGAAATGAATTAAGTGTGTATTTGACAAAATCTTTTAAATAAATCAAGACCCATCTCACCAGAAGATGAGGACACAAAACTGTGAATATGATCAGAAATTAAATGCCATCTTTCAGTACTTATTGCTAAATGGCAAGGCAGCTTTACTTTACTCCATATAACACATGTAGAACAATAACACTGTGATGCAATGCACAGCTGAATAAATGTGATTTTAAACATCAAGAAAATAAAACCTTTCCTGCTGTGGATTAGAGGCCTAATGTATTAGTAAAAATGGACTGGACTGTATTTTTATATAGCGCTTTCTCACAGTGTGTTACACTGGCCAAAGCGCTTTAAGGTCTCTGACCATAAGCTATGGAGTGTGACTTTGTTTTCCAAGGATGTGTATGTGCTGGTTGATGAGAGACTGTGAAGCTAAAATCAATATAAATTTATAAATGGTTGCACCACAGAAACAGATTAAATATTAAACTAAATCAGGTTAAATCACAATATTAAGTTCAGGATGTTTTATTATTAAAATGCATTCATCTAGAGGCCTTAAAAAACCAACAGCTTTTCTGGTAAAAGGTCAGCCCTGTGCTAAAAGGGCTAAAGTGTTTTAACTGCAAATTCCAGGTTTCCAACAAGTCTCCAAAAGCATGTGCAATAAGATATGTGGCACTGC